CCACCGCCGCCAGTCGTTGGGTAAGGGAGTCTGATATCCCCAGCAGTTTTTCACAAGCAGTCGCCTGCGAGGTGATTGACATCCGCAAAAGTTCAATGTCGCCGTTTAGTTGCATAATCTGCCCCAGTAGCGCAGAAACATCCACATGCTTGAATGAGACGGGAGGCAGTTCGTCAATGTAGTGCGAGACAAATCTAGGCAACTCCACATTCTCTTTGAAGACAGCCAGGCACATTTTGATGTACAGTTCATCTTTCTTCTCTCCCCTATGGGAGAACCAGCGTTTGTTGTCAGGAAACAACTCTGCCATCACAGCCTTCGAGTCTTCAATGCGTTGTTGACTGAAGCTAGATTTAACCAACTTAATGATGTTATCTTGGTCAAGAGTTCTCAACTTAATCAGGAGAAAGTTTAACAGTTCATCTTCCACGATTGTTAGGCCATCGGAAGTTTGATAAATCACAGGTTTAGTGCGCACAAACGCACCTGGATCTGCCAGACGCTGCCGACCGTCGGCCATTTTGGAAAAATGTGTGGGTCTACCAATAATCTACCAAGTGCCGTCTTTAAAAAGAGACCAAACGTAAGTCTGTCTCAGCGCTTTTAAGATTTAAAACAGTTTAAGTTGGAAATTTTATTTTCAGGTCCATGCTCAAAAAAGTTAATAAATGGATAGGTTACCTACTGCATAAATATAATTAAGTAGGCTACCATAAAATCCCCTAAAAATACAAAATATTAAATAAAAACATTATCGAACTAAAATATAGGCCTAGTACAAATCATTTCATTGAGAAAAACAAATCGTGAAGAGAGGGTTAAATGTAAGCCGAAACAATATATAGAAAAATGTGAGTCGGAAGAGAGAAAGATGTCAATTTTACCGTCACTCCCACAGCCGCTGCGATTAGAAGAAACACCCTCACAGCAGCGTTAACTATTTTTTTGTCATTTGAAAATATAAAAAAACTTTGGAGGATTTACGATGCTGATGACCGTTACAACGCGTCATCACAGTCTGTGGAAAAAGGTCCATTACGATCGTCCTTTAACATTTAAAAGTTCAGTTTTAAATAATTAGTCCCGTTTTAACACCTGACCTAATTACATCAGTTGCATCTCTGTGTTCATTCTGCTAAAGTTTTCTGAATAACTTGGCGGAAGGATTATTATTTGTTATCAATAAATTATTTTAAAAAATATGTTGCTGCAGGGGTAACGTTATTAATTCTATGAAATATGTATGCCATATAGTATAAATGCTTTTATATGCCATATAAAAGCAAATGTAGCATTACTGTGTGTGTAAGGGCTTCAGAGCAGTATCAACTAACGTTAGAGACTACTGATCAACTGTAGCCTTTACACAAAATATGTAGGCCTATTTTCACGCGCGTGGCGCGTCCCCTTTAACATTTATTTAAACACATTCGGGAGTGTCCTTTTCTTAAACACACTCATTCCTCCTGGTGGTAAGATCACTTTACGACAACTCCCTCAGAGCAACAGTTTGTCAACGAGCAAACCAGGACAGCGTTCTGCTCAACCGACCTGGTAAGTCCTTATGCTCTATGATTTAATTTTTTGTTTTGTTTTAAAATATAATTTGCCGAATAACAAATTTGTCATTAGTCATCATTTACCTTGTGATATTCCTTATTATATGGCGCGTCAAACCTAACATAAAACTGAAATAAAGCACAAACACGCTTTTAATTTAGCAGCTAAACCATTTCACACACACACACACACACACACACACACACACACACACACACACACACACACACACACACACACACAAACTTTTAAAAAGGTCTAAACGGATAAAACACAGTTAACGTTACTGTTCAAAGAGAAGACAATTGGGTGTTTTTTACACTTTCTGCTGAACGTGAGGAGATCTTACTTCATATCCACTAACCACTTGCTTAAAAGTCAACCTTTGTAAATAAAAAAGAGATCAGAGCCTCAGAAAAGAAGCAGGTTGTTCTGAGGAAAAGGTCCAGCATTAGGCTATATGTTTGCAGTTGCTACTTGGTTTGACATTTAGTTATTTATGCAAATATTACGCATTTTATGTTGTGTCCTGATATTTTTTTGTGGCCACTGCATGTGACTGACATGAGCGTTCAGATACCAGAATTACATTAACAACTTCGTGTTTAAAATAGATGAGGCAGAGTGCTATGTTCTCATTTTTACCCAATAAATCAGGTGAATATACTGTGAGCACTTGAGTTAAAATGATTCTTGTTTAAAAGTTATACCTGTTCTTAGCATTAACCTTTTTTTTTCCACCATTTTTCAACGAAATTGTTGTGTAACTTGTCAATTTCCCATTTAAGGAATGGTTCACCAAAATGATATTTATTCTATCATTTACTCAAACCTGTATGGCTGTCTTCTGTGGAACACAAAATACATTTTGAAGAACTGTTTTTGTTTACATTAGGGTAACTAAATCATTCCTAAATTAAAAAAATGTTGGGTGACCTATCCTGTTTTTAACATCTTGTTGCTGTGAATGCTGGTAGTTAAGCTTGTTAAAGTTGTGTATCTGAACCAGGGTTTCCAGAGTTACTGAGATATACAGTAATGACCATTCGGTGGGATCTGAAGCATTCTTCAATTGACACTTCTCTTTTCATTTTAATAGTCTGCAATTTTAAATTGCCTTGTTCTGAACTACCTCTGAATCTGCGCAAAGAGAAGACATTGCTTCTGTTTCACAGAAAACAGAGACGGGCATAAATACATGAAAATGTTTTTAAAATAAAGATACAAAATATCTCACTTAAAAATGATCAAAAATAAAATACCAAAAACGATGTGGACATTTTTTATTTTTATTTGAATATAAATATAATATTTTGTATTTTGAAAATATTCATGTGAAATTGGCCATTCAGTGAAGGATCACTATAGGCTGAAACCTATTCTGAATCCTCTCCTTATCTTATTTCTTAATCCTGAAAATGCACACTCACCCAATGCTAGATGAAGTCCTAGAGCAGCAGTTCATGTGCATTAAAGTTGGGGTTTTTAGGGGCCTGAACTAGTTGATACAAGAAATCAGCAGCCTAATAAAGAGGTCCATAATAAAGTATTTTGAAAATACAAGAATACTAAACTTAAATGTATTTCTTTCAATACACATTACATTTGATTTTTTTTCATATTTAAAATACAAAATGCAAAACAGTATTTTGTATTTCAAATAGGCTACATATTTTAAATACATGTATACTCATCCATGCCGCCATACCTGTTTTTCTCTTCACATTTGCATTTACTTTGCATTATATTTGCATTTTTATTAGTAGTTGTTCATATTTATTCTTCTATTATTTGTAACTACTGCTTCTTTTTGTAGTTGCTCTTTCCATCAGGTCAAACACTGGCAAAATCTTGCAAGCATAGACTTGCCAATTCAATGGAAAGGTTACTCAAGACTACTCTCATGTTACTCAAATGTAGCAAAGATTGACATATGGATTGCTACATGTCGGGGTTTAGAGCTTGGCTTTTGCAACAAACCTTGCTTGGTTGACAGTTGGATAGACTAGATTCATGCAAAACAGGATTTTTCGAAATGGCATGCATTAGAAATAACCACCAAAGCTTGCTAAACCATTCACTTTGAATGAAACGCATCCAATGACCGCTGAAAGTTGAAGGACAATGCTTTGTGTAGCACCACTGTGATGGATTTGCATGTAAAAAAAAGTTTTTCTCTCTCTTCAGTTTCTGTTTTTCCTCTTTCTGATTTTCCAAGATTATGTATAATTGATTAGGCTATATATAATCAATATAATCAGTTTAATATACTATATAATCAGTATGTTAAACTGTACTGATCTGAATATTCTTAGCAGAAGGCATGTCTAATGGTAGAAACTTAAGGATAGGCGACGGTCATTTTGTCAATGCCAGTTTTATACGGATAGTTTTGGCAAAAAAATATTCCGTCATTTACTCACCCTGATGTATTTCCAAATTATTTTGACTTTCTGTCTTCTGTGGAACATGAAAGAATATATTGTGAATAATGTTTTTGTCCATATAATAAGTCAATAGGGTCCAAAGCAACATGGTACAGAAAATACTTTTTTTCCCCTCATAAATATCTTCTTATACAGGACTTTTACTCTACATTATTTTTCATATTTAAGACCCATTCATTTTTAATAATGTTTAGCTATATGACATTACAATATGTCCTAGTAATGATTAAAACGGTAATATTTGGTGTAAAACAAGAAGTAGTATTTGAACACCCTGTGACGTGGCTCAACTTGCCCACAGTGCAAGTTGAGACGCATCACGGAATGTTCAGGCATCTGGGATATTCTTGTAATTGATCACGGCCACTTTGTCGTCTCGTCTGTATCCCTATTCGTCTTGATCCCTATTTATTCCCTATTAGTTTACCATGGAGAGGTGGGGTAAAGTAATTATTCCCAGAGCTTCTCAGTGAGTTTAGTCCCATCCGAATGTGCCATCTCAGTAAACATTACGGACAATGTCAGTAAAGATTACGGTGACTTTTAGCTTCTGTAAAAAGGTCCGGAAAAATTAATCCCGTGCGAATAGACCCGCTGTAAATATGTACGTAAATATTCCGTCATTTCCTGTTTAAAAGTAGTTTTCCTCGGTTTTTCAAGTATGGAGGCGCTTGAAAAAGCATTCATTTGACTCAAGTGTTTTCCACATACCATACAGATCAAAAAGAAGGTCGAAAGCACTTGTTAGAGGCACACAACTTATTTTGGCGTTAGCTAAGTGCCTATTACCAACATAATCCGATCTAATTTTTAATTAATACATCGTTCGACCGGACCGTTACCCCTTCCACTGCTAGTTTTACTGAGATATCTTCTCCCGTGTGAATTGACCGTTATTATCATTGACGTCCTGTGGTAAAATATCATTACTTCATCTACCTTTGTAAAACTAATCCCGTCCGAATAGGGATTTTGGTCATCCTTGTACAGGGAAAGTCAGCTGATCATGTACGTTTCTTTTACAGACTTCCACAATCACACTGGGCGAACCTCATTGATCTTTTGTCATGACGAGGGCTTCAACGTCAGTGGCAGCTGAGCGATCACAGTATCCAACTACTTCTCAGATTTCCAACCCAGACTTGGACACGTTTTGAAGGCCATCATGACTCTCATGAATCGGAACTGGAGCCAAAGTCATGATGTTTCTCAAAATGCCTAGATTCAAAAAATACCAACTACGGCTAATCCCAGTGTGCTTTAGTGCTTTACTGTTCATGGTGTACTGGGAGAAAATTGACAATGACATTGTAAGCCACGTAGTGTCTTTCTCTTACCGCCACCTTCTCAATAGCTTCACGTTCATTAACGCAAGCTTAAGAGTCAACCCCGAAGACGCCCTAAAGTACAGATACCTCATAAACCACGAGAGGAAGTGTGATGAGAAAGACATTCTGCTCCTGCTCTTTGTGAAAAGCTCCTCTGAGAACTTTGAAAGAAGACAGGCCATTCGCTCTACTTGGGGAAATGAGACGTACATTGAGAGAACGCTGGGTGTTACTGTGAGGGTGCTGTTTGCTCTCGGCCTCCATCCCGAACCAGAGTACAGAAGCAAACTTAAGAAGCGACTGTTCTTTGAGGACCAAAGATATCATGACCTCATCCAGCAGGACTTTAAAGACACCTTCCACAACCTTACTCTGAAGCTCCTTTTGCAGCTTGGCTGGAAAGAAAACTACTGCCACCATTCCCAGTTCCTCATGTCTGCAGACGACGACGTCTTTGTCCACATTCCCAACTTAATTCGCTACTTGCAAGGGATCGGCCGCAGGAACGCCAAAGACCTTTGGATAGGAAGGGTGCACCGCGGTTCGCCACCCGTCCGAGACAAAGAGAGCAAATACTACGTGTCCCGGGACATGTACCCGTGGGTGTCTTACCCAGATTACACCCCTGGATCTGGGTATGTCCTTTCCAGAGACGTAGCTACCAGAATCTATCAAGCTTCACTCACCATGAACGCTTCCTTTCACATTGATGACGTCTTTCTTGGAATCTGTGCTAAAGTGATGGACATTTCTCCTAAGGATCACTTGTTCTTCTCGGGAGAAGGAAAAGCTTCTTATCATAGTTGTATCTACAACCAGATGATGACCTCACATGGACACGTCAGCGATATTCGTGAAATGTGGAAGCGTGTAACAGAAGCCGAAGTTGTTAAGGTGTCCTCAGGACTGATTCGGAGGCTCTACTGCACTGTCATGAAAGTGAGGCTCCTATGTGTACCGTTTATTTCAAATTCTTACCCATGTAAGGCAGCTCTTTTTTAACATGACATTAAGTAAAAGTAAAAAGAACCCTTTTGTAACAAGTGCACTGATGTTGTGGTCAGGTTACTATAGAAACTGTGTGCTGTACTTCACAGGACCAGTCAGTTAAGGAAGTTTGTGGTGGGGGTTTGGGGGGGTTGGGTGAAGTAATTTTCTAAAATTAACATGAACTAGTGGAAAATTAAGATTAAACGAAAGCACAGTGTTGCAACGTATATCATATTTAAATATTTATACTCAAAGTCATCAGAAGCCCTACCTGTAAACTGTTCAGCATTTTTGTAGGTACTTGCAATTAAAATTAATTTAGCTTTCATCCATATGTGTTGTTTCACTCTGCCTGTGTGTGTATATATATATATATATCTGTTCCATTGGTCCATTTGACATCTAATATCTAATAAAGATATTTAATATTTTATGGGTTGAGTATTATAATTCTTTGGGTTGTAGGGTTTTTTCATCCCTGGCCTGAATGAATAGCCAGTCTGTTGCAGGACTAATTGAAAACAGAAAAAAAAAAAAATGTTCTCTCAATTTCAAATGCTTTTATTTCCAGCTAGTTTTTTAACATGCAAATATGAACATAAAAATATTCAACAACAACAGACATAAACTGACCAAGTTTCACAGACATTTGATGAACAGAATGGATTGAGTCCCTGAACAGATCAGGGGTCTCTGCATCAAAAGTAGCGGGGAGTGTCTGGTGTGGGTCCAGGTGCTTTAAGTTCTACAGTGAATTTCATTCTCACTATCTTCTGTCCTTCCTGTCGCTGTGTCTTAGGCGTCTGCCTTAACTGTCTGCATACATTTGTCTGTTACATTTTTTTTTTTTTTACTTGTCGTGACACGTTTTACTCACGACTAGTTTTTTTTTATTTAGTTTCTGTTGTAACAGTGGATTACAAAGTTAATACACTCGACTGCATTTAATGAATTGCATGTCTCATTCAAAAAACAAAAAAAGCATTGTGATCACAGACAGATGTTTTCCTGATGTGACCCTCCCAGTATAAGTGCTTCGTCAGGACATAAAAACGAGTGATTCACTCGCACTAAGACGCACGTGATGTTATACAACATGAGTGTCTTAGAAATCCCCCTAAAACTTTCCATCATGCCACATTATGCTCTCTTGAGGTTGATGCCAGTCTGTCCTCCCATGCATCATTCTTCTGCTAATCATTAAACAGTTACTTGTCCAACGTGTGGTTATGCATACTTTACAGGGAGCAGAATATATTACTGTGCTGCTTATTTCATGTGTTCTAGGGCAGCTTGTATAAATATTTAGTTTATTTTTTGGCACTAAGGGATTGGTGTAAAATTCAGATTACACATAAGGGGTGTTACTGTTAATAGTTATCAATGACAATATTTGCATCCCGGGCAGGGATCATGGTGTGTATGTAACGGATCCTTTCAAGATTAATGGATTTAGATTGATTGCAATCCCTCAAGCAAACATGAATCCGGGCAATCCATCTGAATCCTGGCATTTGATTTGAATGAGGTGAGCGGCAGGCAAAGTCAGTGTCAACACAGTAAGTTTTGATTGCATGCATGCTTTTCATATTTCAGAGATAATTTTCTGTCCTTCTAGTAGTGGACTACTTTTGCTTAAAACTCAAGACTTGCGGCATGTCTGTAACCACAGATGGAAAATGGGCGGATTTGCTATTCAAATGTGTTCAACAGGATGTGTTTCAGCTTGAACAAAAGACTTCCTGAAGAAATGTAAATCCCATTATTATCAGGTGAGTGATGTATGCAGATATACATTGCCAACAGTATTTTTATACACCCAATCACAAAAACCCAATAGTTTTTTCTTTTGGATTGCAGAAAATGATAATCTTGACCAATAAACAACTTCTATGAGTTTAAGCCTAAATACAATCAGCAGAATTAAAAAGTTAAATGGAGGACATACAACGCAGTCTCATGACAACTCTTTCAGTCTTCGAGACGATGGAACTGGAAGTGCTAAAATGCTTACGCCTTTCTGGATTTTGGCCAACAAGAACATGTTTGGCTCTGCCCCAATTCCAAACCTAAAGACTGAGAAAGTGTTCAGAGCATGTTGGAACTTATAACCGAAAGCATGTTGACAGGAAACCAGGCCTACTTAACCAAAATAGCCGACCACAAATGAGGAAGTGAATGTAGGTGTGGACTTCCCGGGCTTCCACATATCTCATCTCAGGGACAGATTGTGGATCTTTGTGTTGAGCAGCCCTCTATAGAGTGATGGAGGGATTATCATCCGATCATATCGATGGAGGGACGTCATCCCCGCACCACTATTAATCCAAGCAGAAATGAGGTTCAAAATAGCAGTGATCTCAAGATTCTGTGCGAGATGTTTAACTAGCTCAAAAGACATGGAACAACGATTCATGGACAGAATAAATCATCCTCTTTATTGTCAAAATGGGCCAAACACTTTATGGAATATCAAGTGAAGGCGTTGAGACCCACCTTTGAAGAGGACTTCACAAAAACTACTTGATAAACAATATACATTTAAATTAATACATTCCACAGAACAAAACAAAAAAAACTTTATATTACTAAAAAAGGTAGGTGAAGAACAGTTAAACAGCACACATATGTTAGAATAACATAATTAGCAGACTTAATGCAGCATTTGTATCTTTTAGTCCACAAGTAAATTACTAAATGATGAAGAACATCTAATACATACATTTTAAGCGTACTAGGGAAAAAATACCTGAAAAAGAACACATGTAAAGAACCCATGTTTTGTAAACGCCACCACCAGTAAATACTGATATGGTTGGAGTCTACAACCGTCCACACAGAGTGTCAATGTCACGTATCGAATTCGTAAGTTTTGTCTTCCGATAAAATAAGCGTAAATGGAAGTGATCATTCAACAGCTATCCCTGCATTCAAATCTCCCAAGTTTAAATCAGGTCGGCGACGTTCATGGGCATCTCCTCAACAGTTGTGTTGTAAAACGTCTCAATGTCTCGAAGAATCCTTTTGTCTTCTTCAGTCACGAAATTGATGGCTACGCCTTTTCTGCCAAAGCGACCTCCACGGCCAATCCTGAGGGAACGATTACAGCGAAAGAAACAACATTAAATGCATTAATGCAGCCAGAGAGAAACATCTCAACACCTGCAGGTTTACTCACCTATGGATGTAATTCTCTCTATTTGTTGGCAAGTCATAGTTGATGACAAGAGAAACTTGTTGAACATCAATTCCACGAGCCTATGGAACAGATTTTAGGATTACTAAATATTTCAGATGCACAAAACTCTTAATTGAAGGTTTAAGTCTATAGGTGATGATACACAGGGCAACTTTTTTTCCGTTGACGGCAACATTGCTCAATGTTCATTACGGAACACTTGACTTGTCCATACAAGTAGTTTCATTAATCACTGTGTAATAGGGGTGTTGAAATTAATTGTTGCATCGATGCAGTAATAGACCACAATAGATCACAGCCTACTGACGTTTCTCTGACATCACTCATCACATAGGCACTTCTCGCACTTGCGTAAAATGGTGGAGGTAGGCAAAACACAAGAGTAATAAATGCACCCACTAATTTACAGCATGAGGCTGCAAATGTGGGCGAGTGTCTATGAGCGTTATCGTAAAGAGAATTTTACTTGCCCGACCGGACAAGTAGCTCGATTAAAAGGGCAAAAAAGAAAAAAGAAAAAAAAGTGTATTTATATACATATCTTCTAGGGAATCACTAAAACGAGAATAATTCTGTTTTTAACACATTTATTGTAAGTTGCGATCGATAGTGGATCTGGATATTAAGTGTAGCCTATTACTGACGGTGGCAAAGTTGCGCTGCCGAGGCTCACGCAGCCTCTCGAGGAGAAATGAAAACAAATGAGCAAAGCGCACAAAGAAACTCAGTAAATAACATTCGTTCCAGCCTTCAAGTGAATGGATTGGGGATTGTGTTTTCCTGAATAACATTACGATTGAAAACGTGAGATTGATTTCAGACACCAGTCATGAAAACTGTAACTCATCTCACAGCAACACTCAACCATGTTTCATTGATTCATGTTTAAAAATATCATTCTTTCCAACGTTTCTTATTCGTTTATTCAAAAATATTTAAAACCATCTTAAAGGTGCTCTACGTAACTTTTAGCGGCCTCTAGCGGTGATGTTTCAGATTGCAACCAAATTTTACAAGAGCGCTCGAACTCATAGACAATACCGTCTATTAACCTGTTAAGCTTCAAGCCCATTTTTGAAAAATCCCCAGATATGGCATTCCCAAACTGAAACAGATACAGTTCATGAACCCTTTGTACTAAAAGCACAAGTAAGATCTCATTTGAAAGCTGACACCTGGAAGTTTATTGTAAATGTAGAATTAATTATTGTCATAATGAAAAAAAATAGTTATAAATAGCTTCAAAGTTTTGTAAAGTTATTATACATTTATTTTTATGAAACATCTTCATGAAAATAAAATTGAAGTTGGCATTGTAGCAATCTAGAAATGCACTGCAGCTAAAGCCACATGTCTAACCATGTTATATTTAAAATCTGAAGATGATAAGTCTAAAACTCTGTATTTAGTTCAATGTTTTTCAAGATCATGTCATATGACTTTATTTTGATTAGACTGGTGTTTATTGTCATCTTATAAGCATCTATTCAGTCTATTGCCTCTATTGTTTTGTGATGCAAAAACGAGTCCCATTCAGTCTCAGGCTCCCCTGCACATATTCACACCTCTCCAGCCTGTTTATTGCTCTAAATATGCTTTTCTTTTGTCTGCATTATAATCACTAACGACTAGCAATTCACACTGTTTCAATCCCTCATTTATTTTATAAAAGTTCTCACTTCACAGTGAAACTGTATCAAATGGCCTTTTTGAAAAACGAAACATTTCAGTAAGCATTCTTATTTAGAAAAAAAAATCATAAAAATTACATCGAAGTTAGGTAGCAGGTGCTCAGTACTAGCTAGCATGTTAGCTTAGCACACCATCAATACACGACAATTTATGAGAATAAAACTATGTTTGTGCTCCAACTTACTTTATAGCGCAAGTCGAGTGTTTTAAATAACTTTCTGTAATCTGATTTGGCTTCAGATAAAAAAATCAGATAGAAAATATATTATTTTATTGTATTCTGCACAATTTGAAAGTCTATCTCGATTAGCATTACATTATACATATAATCTATTATTATGAAAATACCTGACATGACTCGAAGAACACAGGTAAATCAAATATCATTGCAATCATGTTTATTGTCTTCAAAACATCTTTATCTGCACTTTACAGCGATCTCGGATAGCTTTGTTTATGTGTCAGGACTTCCTGAATGTCACATGATTATGGCTCTTCTTCATGTGATCCATATATGGACTTTACTGTGCAAACAGCGCCCTCAGACTTCAGTATGAATGGATAACACAACTGTACATCAGAGTATACAGCGCTCAAAATGATTACATCGGCGCATTTGGGTATAAATTCAATAAATATTATTCCTGTCTATAGAAGTCTGATGTAAACCTATGAGAATCTATCAATATTTCTCCAAATCTGCACATGTTTGAGCTAAAAGCCCTGAGGGACGTTGTTTTGTGAATCGCTGTCATGACGATCGCACGGGAGTTTTTTTCTGAATGAGAGCAGCTGACGCTCATAATTCATATTAAAGGTAACGACTCATTTTTGTATTTCATAACTCCTGACACAAATTAAGACATAACTGTCACTATAAGTTTCACAGAATACAATAGTGGTCAAATACTGAAACTTGAGTCTTATATCGTTTTAATGATGTATAGTTTGTCAAGTTAGTCACATTAAATATGATAGTAACTTTGAACTATTTAAAAAAAAAACGCTTCAGAGCGCCCACGCACTGGTGACGGTTAACAGGTTAAGCAAATATCTCGGCGAATACTAGACGAATTCGGCAAGCACCGAGCTCGTTGGGACCATCTAGTTGAGCTGAAAAGAACCATATAAGTTCCATAGTTTTTGGTGGTGTTTTCGCGGAGATATTACAGGGTATATGCAGGAATCTTAAAGTTAATTTTAATAACCTTTTCAAGACTTTTAAGACCTTCTCAATATTTTTTAATACCTCACCGCCACTTCAAGCTGTAACCATTTACATCAGTGATACTTTTAACTTAACAGTTTTAGTTTGTGATAAAGACTATAGACCACTCTGATAAAAAAAAAAAAAAAAAAAAAAAAAATAGGCTGGTATAGTAAATCAAAGCAAAGTTTATTAAAAAACAAAACAAAACTTTGCTCCACCCTCAACAACAATCATGCGGACATGGGACTCAAACTGTTGGACAGCTAATTCAGAAAAAAATTAGGGATGCACCGAAATGAAAATTCTTGGCCGAAACCGAAAACCGAAAAAGAGGAACCCAAGGCCGAAAAAACGAAAACCGAAACACCCAAAGAAATTATGCCAATTATAAGTACCATTGCATTTATGGTTATGACTGCGTACAAACTTTACTAAAATAAAGGCATTGTAATTGCATAAATTAACATTTTCAAAGAATAAATCAATTACAAATTATGCAAATATTTATTTAGCACAATGCACAGTATAAAATAAAATTCAAACTAAAATGTTTAACTTGACCCCACTCATGTGTACATTAAATAATAATCTGCTGGCCTGCAGAAAGGTTTTAAAATGAAATGTTCTCTCATAAAAACAAAGCCGAGCACGAACTTCTCATCACACCAGCACCCAGTTTGCACGTCTAAATTAGTTGATTACATTTTAAAAATGAGCATACACTAGCATAAAAAGCCATTTTAATGGACAAAGGTCCATGTTTAATACAAATGTACACGAAACTTAATGAAATATGTTTAGTGAAATTTGAAAATATTTAAGAGAGCGTTAATTTAATACATATTCCTATACATATTTTGTTGTAATGTCACAAGTAATAATCTCAGGGTTTACTGGGTTTTACATGATTATTTTTCTATTGGTGGTGGTACTAAAAAATAAACATTGTCACGTGTTTATCTTTCTTCTTCTCACCGATTCCTGATGGTTAGAGGACAGTTACTTGAGTCGTCCCCTGTCGTTTCAAAGAATAGTACAACAGCGAGCGCGTCAAGTATAAACGCCTCGACCGTTTGGAGAGACTGTGGAGACTCGCGCTGCGGAGGCGGGCGAAAGTATAAACAAGGCTTCCGTCTCCTCGCGGGTTCAGATCATGTTCAGATATACTGAAATTCGTTCACACCGCAGACATGTTGCTTCAGACAAGCACGTGCAGGTCGCGGTTTCTGTTTGCGTCATCACAACATTTCGGCCGTATTGTTTCGGTGATAAAAGTCTTTCGGCCGAAAACCGAAAATGCACTTTTGGGCTATTTTCGGCGGCCGAATATTCGGTGCATCCCTAGAAAAAATACTTTCAAAATTTAAGACTTTATAAAGCCGTGATAAGACTTAATACTTTTTAAGGGTCTTAATTTTCCCAAAATTGATTTATCACCTTTTAATACTTTTCAAGACCCCGCGGATACCCTGTATTAGCAGAAAACCATCGGGTGCGCTGCAAAATTGCGGACGCCGGTGACGTCACGATCTCAGAAGAAAATCGCTCGTATCTCTGGAACGCAAAGACCCAGAGAGCTCAAATTCGGGGGAGGAGGTCCCAGGGGAACGCCCCCTACCGGATCGCCGTTCGCTGGGACCCCCGATTTCGAACGGCTATAACTCGGGGAGCCGGGCGAGTTGGACCTCGGGGGTGGGCTCGTTCGAAAGGCCCCGTCCAGCACTACGAACGATTAGAGTCTTGGGAATATTGATCAAAGGTTGACTGAGATATAAGCTGAAAAACGAGCGCCTTTAACCGGACGTAACTGCCTGACCGTCTACAATAGACTGTATATAAGGAGAGAGGCTCGGGAGCGCACATGCACATCACATCCGTTGGATTTCGCAGTAAATCCGACCCGGAGACTTCACATAGAAATAGGAATACTGGCCTTCAGAGGTAATAGCAAAACTCGACAAGTGGATCATTTAAATGTGTGATTACAACCCCTTCACACACAGGCAATAAAAAAAGGATTCATTTTAGTAGAAAAGTTACATAGAGCACCTTTAACATTAAATTATTTAAGGCCGTTGTAATTTTTCAGTGTAAATGATTTAATTAGATCAGCCCTACCTAGGGTAACAACCCTATAGTGTTGTATTCTAATTGAATTAATTGATCAAATTTAGGAACTAAAAATGCAAGATGAAGCATACATTTAATACGATTGGGGGGAATGCCCTTTAAAGGTGCATATATGACAATATGTAGATTTAAATATATCAAAGCTGATTGAACACTGATGAGAATATTGCTTCAGAATAAATTTACAATATTTACATTTTTTCGGACAAGCAACTTTTTTTTTACTCGGACAAGTGAATGACAGATTTACTTGTACGAATGTCGAGCACATGAAAAGGCTTAATGTCAAGCCCCGATCATATCTTTACATAACCATACTTTAATAACTCCAGTATACAAAATTCATGAAGCTTAGATTGACAAACGAGAAATTGTGAAAATAAAAGGCCTACTCACCAGCAAATCTGTGGTTATGAGCACTCTGCTGGAGCCAGACCTGAACTCTCTCATGATTATGTCTCGCTCCTTCTGATCCATGTCTCCATGCTGGAAGACACAAAGACTGTAACTTGGACGAGCCAGCATAAATGCCATGCTTGTTACAAGATCTGGATAAGTATGATCAGTTGTGTTTAAAAATGTCTCCATAAGAGGTCAGTCCCGAAAGATGATGAACATCATTTCATACTTCATCCAGCATTAAACAATGTCTTTTAGCTCAAATCACTGGCCTACAATTAACTGCATTTGATTAGCACATAATATGTGGATGTACTTCTTGGACCTACCAGAGCAGACACAGTGAAATCTCTAGCATGCATCTTCTCTGTCAGCCAGTCAACCTTTCTTCTCGTGTTCAAGAAGATAACAGCCTGGGTGATCGTAAGAGTCTCGTAGAGGTCACACAGTGTGTCCAACTTCCACTCCTACAGGAGTAGTGAATTAACATTAGCAGAGCAACAGTGCAAGGAATAACCTACATCAATATCCTGAGGTTCATGATGTGTATGGCACAAAATCTCGAGACCTTGGACACCGGACATTAAGAAAGAGGTCCTTCCTAGACTCATTTCCGACCGTGTGCTTTTGCTCTACCTTCTTTGTGATTAACCAGTACTAGCATGAACACCAGAGCGAGACCCGAAGGCCTTGAGCTGGTGATTTTAGCATGGTGCTTTTTAAAAGAAGGGACATTAGAGACAACCAGTGCCTCACCTCTCGTTCTACATTGATGTAAAACTGCTTAATACCCTCCAAAGTCAGCTCCTCCTTTTTCACCAGGATGCGAACAGGTTCACGCATGAACTTGGTGGTCACCTCCAGCACATCAGCAGGCATGGTGGCCGAAAGCAGCACAACCTGACAACACAAGCAAGCAGTTATAGCATGAACAAAAAAAAAAAAACTACACAGTACAGTGCAATAAATTACAAAACAAATGAAAGATTATTCTGCATTTAACCCCCTGGGGTCCTTCATTTCAGAGTCACACTCAGGACCTTCGGGTCCAAATGGGCCAGAAGGGTGGGATTAATATTTATTTTTTTTAAAAATCATTTTTTTTTTACTTGTTTTTTTATAATATTTTCTCTTTTCTTTTTTGGTGTTTTGAGAATTTCAAAAATAAAAATGATTTATAATTAATATTAATGCAATAATTATGACCCATTTTTTCCCCATTGAATATGATAGATTTTTTTTTTTTTAAAGCTGTATTTCATTTTAGAGTCAAGCCTAGGCCTCATGAAAGCAATTTTTGAAATGAGATGGATGCCATCTGGTGGACAAAATGCGCATTTTAAAAATTCAAAACCCATATGTAATCTGAATTTATTAGTGTGTATGTGTATAAAAGTGTGTGTGTGTGTGTGTGGATGTGTCTGTTTTGCACTCTTGATGTTTTATAGATTCACCCCTTCACTCTTGTGTGCTTTTTTTCTGGATCGTGGCTGATTTGTAGATTGTACGCACAAAAAACTCTGTATTTTCACATTTTTGCCAATTTCCCATTCATTTCCTATGCGGGACCTGAAGGTCCTGAGTGTGCCTTTTTTTTTTACAACCACTTAAGACTATTCAAATCCTGTCCCCAATTTTTTTGGGTGTTCATATACCAAGTACCAACAAAGTCACCAAATTTCGGACCGTTCCGATTAAGCTATGATTTAAAAATATATATATTTAAATGCTTCGGGTCCATTTGGGCCGAAGGACCCCAGAGGGTTAATATAATTGGTAATGGGTACATTTTATTATCAGCAATAAAGAAAAATTATTTTCAACATGGTGGTAAAAAAAAAAAAAAATTAATATGATTTCCAGTTGCAAATGCATGTATTGTCGCACTGGACCTTGAAACATAAGCCACTGGACATTAAGAAAGAGGTCCGACTCAGTTTCATTTCCGGCGCAGGGCTACTGCTCTTCTTCCACATGATACTCTGCTAGCATCATTGCATACACCAGGAGAACCTGGACTCTGCAATTTCAGCACAGTTCTTTTGAGCGGAAGAACTCCATTCAGAGTCGGGCATCAGGGCATTGACTTACTTGTATGTTTGTGCTTAATTTCTGGAAAATCTCATAGATTTGATCCTTGAAACCACGGCTCAGCATTTCATCTGCTTCATCAAGAACAAACATCTTGATCCATTTGGGAGCTGTTGATGTAAAAAAAAAAAAAGAAGAAAAGAATAAACTTTTGTCTCTGCGATTCAAACTTTTAATAAAAGCATTACATGGCTCACAACCATGTTGGTGAAATGTATGATCAGTTGTAAAGTTGTAAATATCTCCATAATAGGTCAGTCCCGAAAGATGGTAAGCATCACTTCATACATCACGCATGTTTTAGCCTAATTAGCATTTGCTACTTACACAGGTACCTCCTGTTCAGCATGTCAAACACTCGTCCTGGCGTGCCAACGACGATGTGCGGAGCCTCCGCCTGGAGTTTCTGCATTTCGTTCCGCACGTTGGTGCCTCCAATGCAGGCATGGCAAGAAGCGCCCATGTAGTCACCCAAGGCCAGGATAACCTTCTGAATCTAGCGAGTGGACAAAAACGGATGGGGTTTAAATAAAATAAACGCTTAATATCTGTACTGAGGTCAGTCAGTGTGCACCAACAATGCCAAACAGTGGACAAGTATGATCAGTTGAAAAGGTCATCTCCATAACAGGTCAGTCCCGAAAGATGAAATAGCATCATCTCATGCTTTTGTCCATAGCTTGTTCCCAGTGAAATCCCCTGGCAGTCTAACAACATTAACTAAAAATCTCATTTCCAACCACTTACAGTAAACACCCCTGGCCATTACAGAAAGATTGATGAATTATTCTGACTGAAGCACTAGCTAGAAAAATACTTCCTGCCGAATAGTTCATCAATTTGTGCAATTTAAAATAATAAAAAAACCCACATTTCATGATTTTTGTATCAGGAAGAACAGCAAAAGTGTACCTTGAATCGGGCTACTGCCAGAATATGCCGCCTTGGTCTGAGACACACTTAAGTTTATGGTGACCTCAGGTACAGCATACCTGCTGAGCGAGCTCTCGGGTTGGTGCCAGGACCAGAGCCTGAGTTTCTTTCTGCTCAATCTCCAGCTGCTGTAGGATGGAAATGGCAAACGTGGCAGTTTTACCAGTCCCTGACTGGGCTTGAGCGATAACATCATAACCTAATGGAGAAAAAAAATATATAAAGGATTCACACGAATGCATAACGCACCAATTGAGCACACTAGAATTTGACTACTAGACCAGTGCCTCTTAAACCTGTCCTGGGGACCCCCCACCACTGTCTTCCTCATCGGACACACCCGATTCAAGTCTTGCAGTCTCTACTATAGAGATGGCGAGTTGAATCAGGTGTGCTACATGGAGGGAGAGAGAGAAAAAAAAGTGCAGTGGTGGGGGTCCACAGGACATGTTTGAAAACCACTGGTCTAGACCACAAAGAGATGAGCAATACACAAATTGTAATGTTTTTTGAAAAAGCATGTTAAGCAAATGTCAAGTGTAATTGATTCTCATGGACTTGTTTGTACCTTTTATGCAAGGGATTATAGCTCTCTGCTGGATTGCCGAGGGTTTCTCAAAACCATAGGCGTAAATTCCACGGAGAAGAGTTTCCTTCAGGCTCATGTCATCAAAATTGTCCGTAATCTCGTTCCAGTTGCTCTGTAAAATAATGTGAAGGATATTTCAGTTTGAGCCATTACACACATCTAAAGAGGCCAACAGCTCACTGTCCCTACTGTAACCTGAAAGGACAGGCGCAATATGCTGCCTTTAAAAATTCACATTAAACAATAGGAGCACATGAAAAGCACCTCAATATTGTGATTACAAGTGGGATTTTCTTTAAGACCCCACTTTCTGTTTTAGGCCAGGGTCATTAAAGAATTGGTCACAAGTCTTAAATGGGAACAAGCAGGATATTTGCTGACATTACGTTCTTGCAGAAATGTCCCTACTACCCAGAAGTCATAATTATGAGTCAGTTGCATTCAAGTGCTTTAGGCGGTGTCTGAAATTACGGTGCATTACGTGCATGCGTCGTTGCGCTCTCGTGAACTCGCGTCAAAGGCCCACACGGAAGAAAATGAATAGTTGAATAGTACAAAAAGTATTCTCGTCACTTGATTAACTTAAGCAGGGTTTTTCCTGCATAGACAATTATGAGGCGGCCGCCTCCGTCAAATTTCATGCCGCCTCCGCCTCTCGACAAAACTCGGACAGACAGTCACGTGCTCATACACTTTTTCCACCGTGACCGTTCTGTCGCGATTCCCGCTTGTCCATTCTCTAACAGTGTAGTTTGGCGATAGTGCTGCACGGATCATAATCCGCGGGTCGAGCCGGCCGAGTAATAAAAACATTCCATTCAATCAAGGGTGGATGACAGCTAAATGAGTGTAATAAAGACACGGAACTCCCATCATGGTACCTAATGTACGGACGGTAACAAAGTTGCGCTGTTGAGTCTCGCGCAATTATTTATAACATTAATTATAGTTAAGAAACAATATATAGGCTACACACGACCAGAGTGCTGTTTTCCTGAATGCCATCACGATTGAAACCGAGATATTAATTTCATAACAGTTCAATAAACAAATAGTTAAAATTAAGTTACTTACATTTTTAGACTGTTTTTGTTCTGTTTTAGCAGCGAAAAGAGTTCCAAACAACAGAACCATATCGCGTCTCACAGCAACACTCATCCATGATTCATTACTGAATCATTCAGCGTTTTGAACTAATCGCTTGAGTCAAAGATTCAATTGCCCATTATTAAACCGCCTCATTCTGAATCGATCAGCCGTTTGAACGAATCATTTACATTAATGACTCAATTAAGACGGCCGCCTGCTGCCTCCTACTGGCGGTTTAGTTTCAACGTATCATTCTTTTCAACATTCCGTGTATATTCAAATTATTCAAAATAATCTCATTTAATAGTTATAATTTTTCAATGTAAATTATTTAATTTGACTGGTAACAGCCTAGTGTCTTATTATTTTAATTGAATGTATTGATGAAATGTAAAAATTTTAAATGAAATTTAGAGCATACATTAAATAAAATTAGGGGGAAAATGCCCTTTATAAAGGTACAAAAAATTATTCCGATAAGAGTGTTTTCAAAAATGAAACATTGACAATAAGTTTAAAGGGAGTAGGCTAAAGCCTCTGTTTAGGCTATAAAGAAAATGTAATTTTGCCAAAAAAAGAACTTTTAATTTAAATAAATGTTAATTGTGTGATATGTTACCATATTATCATGCTTAATTGTGTAATGTGATGATCAGATGTAGATATCTAAATCAAAGAATATGGGTGGTTGGCAGGTGGATTATTATTTATTTTTAACAACAGATTTGAGTGACTCAAAGTGCACCAGATTAATGAATTTATCTTTAAAATGTACAAAATTTTCTCCCGGGGGGCATGCCCCCGGACCCGCCTACTGTTACAATTTTACCACCTCCGCCTCATTTTGAGCCAGAAAAAACCCTGTTAAGGTTGAGCCACTGTAGTCACCTGGACTATTTTAACAATGTCTTTACTAAACTTTTCAGGGCCGGCAGATGCAATTACCTAGCAGCCCATGAGGGAGTAAGACAACTCTCAGATTTCATAAAAAAATAAAAATAATCTTAATTTGTGTTCCGAAGATGAACGAAAGTCTTACGGGTTTGGAACAACATGAGGGTGAGTAATTACTGACAGAATTTTCATTTGTGGGTGAACTAACCTTTTAAATAAAATGCAGTGTCCCATTCGAAACTAGAGAGCTTGCTGACAATTCTGGAATTTGGGTCAAATAAATGCTGTTTGTGTAAAATACATACAATATGCATCAAATGGTTATTTGTATGTAACGGCAAGAGAAAATGTAGATGTTGTGGGAAAAACAAAACTTCATAGAGTCACAACAATAGAGGCTTTCGCAGCAGATAGTTATAGGAACTAGCCACCAGGGCAGTTCCCCAGGAACTAAATGTTCCCCTAGGGCCATTTTCCTGGTTGCATTCGGATCGCCAGTAGGAACTCTTGAGGTGACGTAGGCCAGTGGACAGAAACGTCACAAGCTTGGCATTTAACAACATCTACTGGAGGATGCGGGACGTCATGATCAGAGCTGTGTTTTTGTGGTGTGTTTCGTGATAACAGAGATAGAATGTAGACATACAAGTAATGTGATGGAAAGAGCGAAAAGGAGAGCTAAGAGACGAAATCTCCAACTTGCGGTGCTACATATCATCGAGGCTGAGACAAGAACACAACTGCACAGACAAAGGTGACAGGTAAACGCAGTTAACATTAGCTTTTTAAAAATGGCGGGTACCGTTTCGTATGGCATACGTTTGACAAATCAGCATACAGTTACATCAATGGTAGTTCCTATAGTGCTGGGTTTGACCCTACTCTGAAGTAGGAGCTAATTCAGTTCCCCCAAAAGACGTTCCTATAAATTCGTTCCCAGTTCCTGCGGTGGGAACGTGTCATAAAGTGGGTACTTCCGCCATTAGTTCCTGGACCTATGAAAAGGTTCCTCCGGTGTGAAAGCCGCTAATGTTTCTCCTCTGACCGGATTAAACCGCTCTATTTTGCATTACTTCTATGGTGTCTTTTTGAACATTTTGAAAAGTGTCAGTTTCGGACTTTCAATGGAGAAACAGAAATCTCAAGATTTGATTAAAATATCGTTGTTTAGAAGAATTCTTATGGGTTTGAAATGACAGGAGTAATTTATGACCATTTTCTTTTTGGGCTGAACTACATACCCCCCTTGAAGGCAGCAAAATGTTATCGATTAGTTCAAAAGCTTTATATTAGCCAGCCCAGATATTTACCCACCCCTCCAGACTTCACTAAATTATACAAACCTCGATGATACCATCAGGCTCCATTCCTGCAGGCCCATCATGGTCTCGGTCTCGTGAGCTAAAAGAAAAGACAACTTGGATTATTATCAGCGGTTACTGAAGCTGAAAGTATTGAACAACTCGAACCTCCACGAGACGCGCGCGCCGCTGAGCGCACGTTCCAAAAACGTCACGTGGCTCGCCGTTAACGGTCAATACGATACATAACTAACGTTACTTTAGAGAATAATCGGTTGTTTTCCGTGATAACGACTTGTTCATGGTCTACCTTAAAAGGTACGCCCAAATTTGGTCTTATTTACAGTACCGTACTCGTCAGCTTTAATGCGTCAAGAGCAGCCCATAATTGTTGTGCGTTACCAATTATGTACCTCCTGATATTGTGATAATAAAATGGCTAAAACAAATACATTCGACATTACAGATTCGTATGACAAAATGTTAAAGGGTTACTTCAGGATTTAGCATTAAGCTTTGTATCAGTAGAAAACCAGTAGTATTTTCGAATTACCGTGCTTCCCCCCTTCATATCCCCCTGAGATGAGAGATTTATGTATTTTTAATCTGGAAAAAATCCTCCGATGACGCAAAAATCGTCATTTTGCGTCATCGGAGGATTTTTTGGTCAGAGGCTTAAAACTACAGCAGGTTTGAGCAGCTAGTTCCGCATGTTTTCACCACGCCCATATTGGGCGGGATCTCACTCACAGAACGTAAACATAGTGTCAGCCATCTTTCTGTAGCTAAGCTAACAGGCTCTTGCTCTGTGGAGAAAGTTTGATTAATCACAATGGCGGAAGGTAGTTTTGAAGTAGAAAT